GGGATAAAAATAACGTAGGGTATTAAAAGATGAACTTACAATTTATTATCGACTTCCTCACTTTGTGACCTTGTATAACATATAGTACGTTCAGCTAACATAAAAGTAAGCTTGTGTTTCAAATCCTGGCGAAGCATACCTAGATTTTCACGTTTCTGGATCCGATTGCTAGCTACGTTAATAACTTCTATTGTAATGAAATATACTCACTATTGCTGCTTGTTTCTGTCAAAGGCCACAGCACCTCCTAGGCCATTTGCTTTTCAGTGACGATAAGAGACTTTATCACGACCATTTGAAGAACACAACAAAGTGTTTTGTTTAAGAGAAATGTAATAGTATAAGACAGGATGCTTATATGCTAACATTATTGTGGAGGCAAAAGCTTTAATTGTAACCAAGCAGGAGTGAACTTTTAATTTATGACTTTGGCCCGCATGCTTATTGTAACCACTGCGATAACTCGGAGACAGCAAAAATACTGTTAGAGAAGCATAGCTTGAAAAATACTTCAGCAGCAGATTTAATAAATAGCTAACAAATAATATAAAAATTTCAAACAGACATACATATTTAAAAATTCAAGAAAATATTTCTTCTGCCGGGAACAATTCAAATAAAAATACCTCTCCGATCAAAATTTAATATTGATTTACGCAAATCCTAGTGTATGTTATCTTTTCACCTATTAAAATTTTATTGAAATATAGCTTTTGCCCACAAATATAAGAAATGAAAAAATGTACTGAATAGAACGTTATAAACAAAATGTACCTACTAATAATGTTGAGTTAAATATTTAGCCTTTTGTATTCCAGGGAAACAAAGCGCAGCATGAAGAATGACTCTGTTTACATAATAATAGTATGCATTATTAAAAAGTACCAAAGAAAGTAAAAAATGCTTCGCTTTTTTATATCAAATTATAAAATTAACATTGAAAAATTTAACAGACGTTAAAATGTTATAAGGCATTTCTCACGCCTTCTTAGAATGCCTTCGTAGTGTAGTAGTCAGCACGCTCGGCGCGTATTCAAGAGGCCCGTGGTTCGAGTCCCGGCGAAGGCGTTGACCATTTTTCATCTCTCCTTGCTTCAAAAATACCTAATGTCTCTACTATGTGATTAAAGTAAGTTGTCTCAATATGGATTAGAAATAAGGAGGGTAAGTAAAGAAAATAACCCGTTTCTGTTATAATGTATTTCTCCCGCATTCCAGCATGCCTTCGTGCTGCAATGGTCATCACGCTCGGCACGTATTGAAGAAGTCAAAGGTTCGAGTCCCAGCGAAAGCATTGCTCATTTCTTCGATTTCCTTGCTTCGAAATAACCTAATGTCTCCACGGTGGCGCCCAGACTAAAATGGTGGTGGATGATGATTCTTCACCACCAGGATTTGGCAATTGGTTCCCTAATCCCCAGCCGCCCTTAAGGGGGGTACATAAGGTATTTCTTTCGCCTTCTTACCATGCCTTCATGGTGTAATGGCCAGCACATTCGGTGCGTATTCGAGAGGTCCGAGGTTCGAGTCCCACTCACGTTTCCCGTCTCCTGTTTCCAAATATCCTAATGTCTCTACACTATGAGGGAAACATATTCATCTTAATGAGTTAAAAAATAGCAAATTAAATAATACTTGTAAATTAGATTACAATAGCAATTAGTGGCACAGTAGAAGTTAGTTTATAACTATAACACAAAGCATGGCTAGAATTTTGTCCTGTTAGGGAAATAAAAATTTTAGATTACCTTTTTGTGCAGAATTTCATAACATAACTGTCATTCAGTAAAGTGATGGTCGAGAGTTTAATTTTGAATCTCGCTGCTAGAAAACTGAGATACATTTTGAATAATTTGATGATGAAACATTCTATCGCATTTAGTATAACGTAATTATTAAAAAAGAAGGGTAAATTTACTGAGCAAAATACGGTAGTTCTTTATAAAATTATCTAAACGGCGATCTGCAACCCGCTTATTGACCGTTTTATTGCTAGAGGCTTGGACGTTCACCGCTGGTACCAAATTCATCTTATAATTGCACCATATTACTTTTTCCATTCTTGAAGTTATATAAACAACGTCGTTTTTGTACCATTTCTAAAATGAATCGAAATATGTTAGTGTTACGACAGCATGTTCAGACAGCAATTGAAATTTTACTCGATTTGAAATTAGGCAAAGCAACAATCATAGTTTGGAATAGATTTCCAACAGAACTCTATCGGTCTCAGGTCCCTTTTTGTGAGGAGAAAAAAAAATGCGTCTCCTGAAGAAGACAGCCCTGTTTCTGATCCTCCTCCAAATCGCTAGAGTTTTATTGAAAACATACGCCAGATTAATGCTGCTGTTTTACCGAATTTTAAATTTTACATTGGTATTTTATCTTCCACCCTTATCTTTATCTTTATTACATTGGTATTTTTATCTACCAGTTTGTCTAGATCTGTATTTTAGAGAGGGAAAACTCTCCAGTTTTGAGAATGCGATTAACCTCGTTTATAAAAACCATCCATGGTTCCAAATGATTTTTAAATTCTGCAGAATTAGTTTCTTAAAGAAATGATGTTTGATTATTAATATTGATTCATTATAATCAATCAATCATTCAACAATTATAATGTGCTTTCAAAAATATTGGTGACTCTCAAATGGAATTGAATTACTTCCTCTAAAATTTACTCACTGCTATTTCTTCAATCCTTCGAAACATTTTCACAGTATTCTTATCTTTGATGTAAATTCACATTATTTGATAAATATCTGACAGAAAAAGAAACATTATTAGTACTTTAACATTATTTTTATCCTCATTTGACTAAAAATAGAAGTTTAAAGGTAAGTTATCACAATTTCCATTCCTGCAAACTGAAAATCAAATCCACGAAAACGATTCTTGACACGTTTTGGATACAGTGTGTTGTAAATTTCCTAAAAAATGAAAGATCCACCAGATAGGTCTTTATTCCTTTTCGTAACCATGAAAGTTAGAATAATTACTATTTAAATTTCTTTTAGCAGTCCTCGGTGTTATCGTAAATAAAACTCGCAGAAAGCGCGTGTGCAATACATTGTATTATGACCATATATGGAGGAAATGGAAACACACAAACCTTGCCTCGATACCGCAGAACAGAGGACTATAGTGACATGACCAAATAAGGTTAATCAAAAACACACTCATCCTTAATCCGACACCACATTAACGAGGACTAGATAGTATTCTGACCATATTTGGAATGCATATGTTCACTTCGAACAGCAGTAAGGGGAACTAGCTTTTTTTGGCATGGAAGCGTGGCCCCAATTTTTGCACAAAGATGCACAGCCCATACACAGTTTTACACAGAAATAAACTACTTATATTCATACCGAGGACATAGCTCGGATTTGGCTCATAATTGGTTTCTACATGGATCCGAGGTCCCTGATTGCGATTCTGGCAATATTTCCAACCGAGGATGTCCTTGGTTCTTCGAAAGTCCTCGGTTAGAAGGTGTGTATACATATTTCCGTCCTCGATTTACACCCTAGGCGAACACACATAGATATATATACATATGAGGCAGGTAAGGTATAGGACCTTTAAAAACTTAAAAGATGACGACTTCTGTTATATATATATCCACCTTCTTTTAAATTTAAACATATAAATGTAGTTCAGCAGGACATTCAAGGCCCTAAGCCTTCGGTCCCCTATACGACGGTATTCCTTGCATATTTAAGCCACTGAATTAAATTAAATATATAACAAGGAAACCGTAATAGTAGTTAAATAAGTAACCATAATAGTATTTAACATAAAGGCTTGTCATCGTTCTTAAAGTAGTTATGTTTAATTTGATTTCAATTCTCAGGTGCTGAACTCACAAAGTATTGGTTCAAACTGAAACAGAAACGCGCCAATGTAAACTTAAAATCAGGCAATTAAGCTGTTCTTCCGGTGCAAAAGTTATTTTTGCTTCTGATGAAGAGGAATCTGTGTTTGAACGCTCTCGAAATTTATAGTTTCATTCAAAATCTTCGAAAAACAAAGCTTGCTTATATTATGTTTCGAATTATATTAATTTGCGAAAAAACGTTCATTTTGAATTTCAAATTATACTGATAATTAGTAGTCAGTTATGAACTTATAACCAATTGTATTTTACGAAAATATTGTTAAAATCATGACATGTTTTGTCAAACTTACTTCGTCAAAAAAGAAATATATATTATATATATATATATATAAAGAAATATATATAAAAAGAAATATGTAATTAACTTCCTTAGGACTCCCAGTCTGAATCCATTATAAAAGCTATTTTAGCTCGCAAAAATAACCAGAGAGAGCGAAATTATAGAAAATACAAAATGGTTATGCTTTCCGTTCAAGGCGGGAAATCTCACTGTAAAAAATGTGAAGAAAGTAGGACTAGTAGCACCAATTCTTATCAATATTCAGAAATACTAAAAAACGAAAAAATCACGGAATATAAAGAGACATGTAAGTAGCGATGATTTCATGTCTGCAAATTTCACTCTGAGTCATATGATAAGCTACGTCGACCACAGGGGAGCAAAACAGCCGAACGTGTGACACTCGACGCCGACCAAGAAAGGATTAAACTATCATGTCTCTTAATCAAGGAAACCTGTAAGAATAATAAATACCTCGGAATAAATTCGCTTATTTTTTTGCTCAAGTTAAGTAAGGATCTTCAGTTAATAAAATACTGCATAAAATATGTGAAAAAGCACGGAAAGAAATACATTAAGAACTTTTCAGTACATTGTTAGACATCACACATCAAATAGCAAACTAATTCCCATTAAACTCACAACAAGCAAAAACAGAGAGAGATATTGCAATAGCTAATTCAGAAATTTGTGTTTTTCGCTTTTGGTATATTATTTATATTCATACTAAACTATCAAAAATACTTGAAGAGTCAAGTATTCTTATAAATCTGGTTTTGTGAAGATTATGTTTTAATTATAAAAAAGAGGAAACGCTGATTTACGTTGGTCAGAAATATTAAGAAACATTTTTCACAAAATTTAATTACAGAGTGTTTTACAAATTGAGCGGAGACCATTACAATTTTTTTAAAACCTAAATTATAAATTTTGAAAGATGCAGTGCTCTCTGTCCTCTAATGCATTCCTTATTGAATTGCCTTCTTCACAGTTCTTGGAATCCATCTTCTCTTCATATTCTTAGTACAAGGCTTGCAAATTCGTTTTCTTCAATATTTGTGCTACACATAGATAAAAGTAAACAAATCTTTCAGCTGAGCGTGCACATTATGATTTTCGTTTTTAATAATCCATTTACTTTTTAACAAATTTTAAAAGTCGATTGCAACTCAAATATGACTTACTAGAATAGTGGATCTGAAATTTCTGTCTTAAGAATACATTATAATTTTTAAATCGTTCAAATAAAATTACGGTTGCTTGTTTGATATGTAATCTTAAACAATAATATAGTATGTTAAACGAAAAAGAAACAAAATTTCAAAGAAAACTAGATTCCTAGAGTTTTTTAACAAAGAAAATAAAACAAAAACTACGAAGCAATATAGGAAATACTTGTTGTGTCACATGGTGTCACACTGTGTGCCACATCTTGTTGAGTGACACTGCGTTTCGCAACATGAGATTAACTTTTACAAACTGATATTGCTAATGATTAACAATTCTCATTGTCTCATAAGTAACAAAAGGTAATTCGGTGTTTCGGAACTTACATTCAGTTTTATTTTGGATAAATACCAAAGCTTTTGCAAAACGGTGGCCTGTAAAGTTAAGTTCAAAGCGATATAAATTAATTTTATGATAGCTAGGGTGTCCAGTTGAAGAAACCAGGCTAACCAAACTGGAAGTCATTTATTTCCTAATCCTCATTTCGTACAAATGCAAAAACTTCGTAGCGTTTAACCTCTTAAAAACGGCTATCTCTTGCTTTGAAAAGCAAAAACGTGAGGGAAACAAACTAACAGAAAACTCCAAAACAGAAGTTATAATTTAAATTTTTCATATATGTGCCATTTAAAGACAAGGGTCAAAAATGACAAAAAAGTTTGATGAACTTGAATTTCAAGCAACTGAAACAAATTCAGTTTGACGTTAAAATGATGGCTGTGAATCACAGCAACTCAGTTTTTCTCAGCTTGTTATATCAAAGATTGAAAGTTATTTTGAAGCAATAATGATATCAAAACCTCGAATGGATTACGAACATGGATGGTTTCAAGAAGGCCCTGTGCTATCGGTTAACAAAACAACTGAATAGTTTGGTTAATTGTGGATCCTAATTTAGCTATAGCTATTTCCAATAATAAATCATCAGTATTTGACCTTTCATAATACATAAACGCAGAATACGTATATTAACTATATGCGCAAAAATTCAAGTCAAAAATTACAGTAAGGAATACATTACCAAAGTACTTATTTTACAGGTACATCCCTATACGTCATCAATTGGACGATCATTTAAATTAAATTACGATACGAGTATATTAGCCGGTATATCGGCTAAACTACCATCTCTCATTAAATTCCTGCGATCGTTCGATAGCCCTAGAAGCTATCCGGAACTCTTCGAGAAAGATAATTTTTCTAATGTTCCTCCCTTCTTAGTGTTCTTCTTTTCCTCTAAAGAAGGCTGGGGGTTGAGTGGTTTTTTTTTTTTTTTTTTTTTTTTTTTTTTTTTTTTTTTATATAATTTGGTTTATTTCAACGTCAACTTTACAATAATTAGAGCAAGCGCACATCTGCATTGCATTTTGTTCCTAACCTTTCCTCGGGAAAGATCCTCCAGATAATGTTTGTCTATCTTGTGTTAATTTTAACTGTATTTTATGCTAAATTAGGGGAGAAATGAAGCAGAAGCTTTCCATGCAGTAAAATTGTACATGATGGAATAAATACAATTGAAATATCACGTCAACAACAGCCGATGCCTTCTTAATAAACTGAGTTCATATAATACTCTGAAGCGAGTCTAAAAGTGACAACCTAACAGTACCCGCCGAAAAGCGAAAAACCTATTTAATCGATCTGCTGCCATCGAAACTATATGTCATCGCCAAAAGGTGGATTATTGGAGGAACCGGTAAATACGGGAGTACCGAAACTAAGTGCTTAAGTAGAATTATATGTATAAGATAGAAAAGAAACGACTTTTTGGTTATCAAAAATACGACTGATATAAAAGTTTGTTTTAACTAATAAATCGCAGCAAATTCAAGAAAAAATCTTTTTCTTTACTTATTTACATTACGAAATATTAAAAACTCTTTTGGGACTGAATTCTATTCAGATCATGTATTTGATAACAGAAGTTCTGAACCACTAATCTAGGATATAATATTTTAAGTTCTTTTGAAGTTCCGATAAAAAAATATCACTCCTTTAGAAAGTTTTTTAATTGTTATTATAATTATTACTTTGTATAGTGAATCAGAAAATTCTCTCAATAACAGAATTATGAAAAGTTCTTGAATGATATGAGTCATTTTCGTTCTTGACTTTTTATTACTTTTATTTTTATTAGTCGACGTGTGTAGTAAACTTGTGCGAAAATCTTTGTCATCGATCATGAAGCCAGAAAATTTCCACTGCTTGTTACGCGTTTAAATAAAGTGATAGGGATAAAATTTAAACCAGACATTTCAACTGTTTAACTGCTGTCGAAGCTAAATCGGCACCAGTCAGTCATTCAAAGAGATAGTTTCACATTCATCTGACCTACCATTTATTATTGTAGTCTGGTCTAAAAGGACTTGCCTGGCACACAGGTGATAATTGCAAGGGATATGATATGTTTGGTTATCGTTTGTTACTAAATGAATACGGAGGTAGAAAAATAGGCTCTAATATGAGGCACAAATAAGAGATGATGAATAATGTTATTTCAGTGGAAAACTGAAAACAAATGCTTTAGCCTTTATCACTGATAATTTCAGTGTGCTTACAGTTTCTTGGTTTTCTAATACCTCGAACTTATAACAATTACTTGAGACCGTTCCTTTGTCATAACCTGAAGCGTGTCATTTTTATTGAAATTTATGATGCATCGTTGTTAATTTTACGTTGTATTGAAATAATAAGGCTTTGTAAAATGTTTCTTCTTTTGAGTCTTCTTTGCAACATTTTCGGCCAATACGAAAGGGAATGTAGGAAGCTCCTCGACTGCACAAATTTCAAAAAGTTGGGTTTACTTTTTCTCATCAAAACATGCCTAAACTATTTTCTGAAGCAAAGGTTAGCTCTGTCTACAGCCAACAATAGCTGCACATTTAGGGAAATCAATTCAGATACAGTTCAACTCGTACAGTCTCGTTTCTAGTTCCACAATTACATCTTCGGTAACTACGTATTGATTATGCAGCATCTGGGAAACATCTATAGAAGCTTTCACAGTTTTGTATTACATCTAAATTCACATTTCTCGAATCACCAGCACAACACGAAACAATATCAAGTGAGTTATGAAAATGGAAGGTTCACACTTGAAATTTTGGTGTAAGGCAGTGCAAAGAGACATTAACATTCACGTCGACTGTTCCGATTGAACGTTGAGCCAATGGATAAAAAAATATGACTCCTTCGAGAGCTGAATGCATTGAGACTAGACGAGTGAATTGTAAAGAGGAAAAGAGGGCACTTGATTCGTTGCTCCATCACTGTAATACGCATTTGCTCTCTAATGTTTGTCTGATCTCCCCGAGCTGAGCTTCGATGCTGTTCTTCCAACCTATAAGAAAACAGAACGTTTGGAATCAGCAACACTTTAAATGACTTTTAGGAGTGAGGTATGAATAATTTTATATTGTTCAGGTAATAAAATTTATGATACTTTATCGCCTTCAGAGCATTTTAGTGTATTGAGCAACACTTCCCAGTCTCTCGTTTTCTATCTGTATAGCTTTCAATTGATATAAAGATGACACGTACACTGGGGGAGGGGAGAGAGAGAGGACATTTCTATATCTGCCGTTCTACTGGGCCGATTGACGAAATTCAAATTGCGTTTTTATGTCTCGAAAGCGCGACTTAGGATATGTATGAAATTTATATATAGCATTGTTCAAATATAGGTATTTTGACAAAAAATTGGACATTTTTTTTAAATGACATGCCAATTTTTTTTCCATATTTTGATTCTACCACTCAAATTATGCCAAATTGCCAAGTTTTGTAAATATCGCACGAGTAGTTTTTAAAGAATTAGCTCTCAAAATTTTAGCTTTTCAATGTTAATTCAATTTGGTATGCATTTATCAACACCTCATTTTTATGAAACTTATTTGATTCCTTCCTACACATTTTGAAGTTTAGGTTCATTCCAAATAAAATTCACTTTTTTTATGATTTATTTTTAAAATTTGTTTTTTAAATCATTTTTATAAATTTTTCGAAAAAATTTGAATTTTAACCTATAAAATTTTTATTATCAACTTAAAGTAGATGTATTTCTAAGCATACCTGCAAAACATTGGAGCTTTTTGTTCAAAATTTATATACGTGAATTTATATATTGGAGCGTTTTGAAATTTGGCATATTTGTTGAAAGCGATAATAACGAAAATATGGTTTACGCACGTTTTAAAAATGATTTGAAAGTAGGAACGATAGGACTTTTTCCGCTCATCCACAATGTAAGAAGGTAGGAACGATGTCACTTTTTTGTCCGCTTCTGCACAATGGAAGGGAAAGGAAAATAGGTTGTCATATATTAAAAAGTTCGCCAAGTGAATTATTCTTGGTTCAAACTGAAAAAAATGCGCCAAGTTAAATTTTCGAATTTCTCCGTAAATGTCGCACCAAATTTTACAAAATTTAATATTTAGGCATAATTTGAGCCGTAGAATCGAAATATAGAAAACATGGTATGTTATTTCCATGTTCTTTTTACAAATTATTGTTATCATTTGTATTATAGGATTCTATGAAAAGACTAAACAAAAATTCGTCTGACAGACTAGGAAAGTCACTCGGGATAGCGAAATTAGAGAAACGGAGTAAGAAATTAATGTAATCAGGTAGTATATCAATGAAATTATATTGTAACTTATATTATGAAATTATATTGTTATTTATTATATTGAAACGTTGAGCCAGTTTCGCCGAATCTGTTGACAAATATAGATATACACATTTGGACAGACATAAAGAATCTAGACACATTAGACAAAACAACTGAAAACAAATAATTAATCGAACATGATAAATAAAGTTAATCTATCCAAATTGTTGAAAAGTAGAAAATGATAAATATGCGATTAGTATACAGAAATTTCGATCCAGTAATCGCAGAGAAAAACGAAAGACGTACGTGTAAAATCATCAAGATCCTCTGCTTCTATTTCAGCAGGAGTTTTCTTCTTCCGATTTAGACTGGTACCTTCAGGAATTACTTCCTCCTCTTCTTCCTCTTCTTTTTTCTTGATGCCATACTGTAACAAGAAACAGCAGCGTTAAAAGAGTAAGGAAAAACGTTTAATAAACAGTTTCATTCAACTCATTTATGGAATGTGACAATAATGACTGAAACACCGATTCATGCTGAGATCAGAAAATAAAAGAAAGAGTTAAGAAATAAAAATTACATTTATATTGTTGGACAAATGATTCGTTTGAAACAACCAACCGTTTTGTTCAAAAGTGAAATGCAACAATCATATATTAAAAAAAAAAAAAAAAAAAAAAAAAAAAAAACCTTCGTTTAGATATTTTCCTTTATTACTTTTGGACTTGATTATGACTTAGGCATGAAATAGTCCCAAATTAAGAGGAGGGATTGGATTGTGAAGATTACGATATAGTATAAAAGGGCTATCTGCCTAAGAGGAGAGATCCCTTCTTGGAAGCCTTTTAAAGAAAGTGGATCTTATTTATATTGCGCATGGGGCAAAACACAAAAAATCCCTTACAGCCAGACGTTTACCAGAGATTTGATCCTGCGTCGACCAACCAGGGATGAGCGGCTTCACCTCTTTTCCACTGATAAGTCTATTTTATAGACAGACTATTTTAGTTCAAGTCAATTCAAGACTTACAAGCACTTTTCAAGAGTAAAATAAAATGCTTTTGTTATATGCATGCATATAAACCATACGATTATGTAAAACAGCATGCAACAGAAGGAAAATATAAAGCTCAGTGTCATTTGTTTTTGACATCTGAAACGGTGTATTATGCAGTTTATATCATTTCTTCCAACACCTTTAAATCAATAAACATTTCTAAGTTAAAAATATTAATTGATACAGTTATAGCTAAACATTCACAAAGAATTTAACAGCTTTTATTTTTCAGGAGAATTAATATGTTATTTAAGAACTTCTGTGAGTCATTATTCTCTCTAAAAGCCAATTACCCTACTTCATTGTCAAAGTATTCATAGGGATTTATTTTAAGCAAAGAGTTGCATCTTTATTTAGTCTGTTCTATATCTCTTTCATTTCTAAGCCATTCATATTCTCTCGAGAAAAATGTTAATTAATTTTATAAAAGATGGACTGGGTATTAAAATAAGAACTTTGAGTTTTTCTGCTTTTATACGGTACTTGTTTTATTCGATTAACAGCTCCTTACAAGCCATCTATTAATAAGAAGCAAACTGTCTAATTTAAAGTCGCTGAATTATTGGTGAGTAAGAATTTGAATTAAGCTTTCAAGGATTAGATTTATGGAAAAAAATGACTACTAAACAACAAGTTTGCACATGCTTACAACGTTGTGAAAAGGCAGGCTCTTTTATGTGGACGGAAATATCAGAGAGCTCCTTGAAGTAATACAGTCACTATGTTAAATCCTTCGATATAGCATAACTGCTACTTCGCAAAAGTAAAATTCTAAACATTTTCGAAAAAAAAAAAAAAAAAAAATCAGAAAAAAGCGTCAATGAATTTTAAAAAGAAAATTGACACATAGTTACATTTACTATATGGAGAAAACATTTATCATGAAAATTTGAAAATTAGACAAATAAAATTTATTTTGAAATACAATGGATCATGAATAAATTTTCTGAACAAAAAAAGTCTCGGGTGATGGACACTCGAGTCAGCAGCCAATGATTGTCAAAGGTGCCTCAAGGCAACTTCTGACACAAGATTAACATTCAGGGGCTTCTAGAAACATCATTTCAATATTTTTCTTTGCTAACTCTCAATAACAAAAGCTAGCAACAAATTACTTATAGGACCACGAATTTGGACTGAAGAAAATTGTGGCCAGGTGGTTTCGTAGGCAGAGATTTTGAGAGCTTTGACACTGAAGAGTAATTTTATTATCTATGATACTACATCTGTATACAAGGCCTTGAAGTTAACAGTAAAGACAATGATGTGTTAAAATTAACTCAAGTGACATGAAACACGTTCAGAAATGTCCACCTGCGACCGAGAGATAAATTCACTGTACGGTAATAGTTCGGCCCAAGGTTCGAACCCCACGAACGGGCTGGCTGCATAGGCGTTTTCGTGTTTTTCCCCACGTGTAACGTGTGAATGAGCCAGTTTGCTTTAACAAGTCCTTCACAAAGACATCTCTCCCCTTAAGCAGATAGCACTCGAGTGCTTTGCGATAGTCAAATAAACCAAACCAACCTTCAGAAGAATCAACAAAGGACGATTATTGACGAGATACCTCTTGAAATACTTCTGTTCGTTACATATTACCTTATAACGGACGAGGTTTAATATACACTTACTATCTATGTAGTATAGTTTACAGCAGCGTTCTCAACCTTTTGACTAACGCGTACCATCTAAACAAAAATTGAAACCTTTAGTACCACCACTACAAAGTACTACTACCACCACCACTCTTTGAACAAGGCTCAGATCGCATAAATTTATGACTGTTAGAGAAAAAACTCAGATCAGGATGTTGGGGCTTTAAGGTTTGAATTTAATAGTTAAAAATACTTTCGTTCTTTGCGTACCACATTTTTCTCTTGCGTATCATCGGTTGAGAACCTCTGAAATACAGCATTCATTTCTATCACGACTTTTAAAAACATTATTTATGGAAAATTTTGCTACGTCTATGGCTAAAAGAATATTTGTGAAATGTACGATATGAAAGAACTACGAAAACTGCCATGCTGACAGATTGCTTGCCTCTTGCTAAAGTCTATAAGCGGCTATTAACCTTGAATAAAGCTCAGATCGCATACGTTTAGGAGCGTTGGAGAAAATCCTCAATCAGGATGTCGAGGTTTTAATTTTTGAATTTAATAGTTAAAAATACTTTGCCTCTTTGTGTACCACCAGTTCTTCTCTTGCGTACCACCAGTGGTACCGGTTCAGAACCCCTGGTCTACAGTATTGTTTTGACTCTAAAATGCAAGAAATACACACTACACACTAAATTTACATTAGGTTTTTAGTATAAAGAAAGTACCCTCTCTAAATTTTAACAAAAGAACCAAAAGCTGTTCATATCCTAAAAATCTAACTATTAAAAAGCGAAGATTTGAAGCAAGCGATAACTGAAGAATTCATGACCATTCTGCTAAACTATGAGGCAGTCCAAGCTGATTTTTCATTTATGGTCTCCAAAGCATGTCTCGATACTGACTGCGGAGTTATTGACCTATACATTTAAATCATGTAAACCTACTTTACTGATGCATTTTGAAATCTAAAATTTTAACAAAAGAACCAAAAGCTGTTCATATCCCAAAAATCTAACTATTAAATTCATAAGAATAGATAGCTAAAAATAAAATATTTATGAAAAGCGTTTTTCTCATTTTTTTGTTTGTTACACGCTGCTACGTGTTTAAAACTATTTTTGGTGGAAATATTGGAGCCGTATAACATAAATCAATATTAGCGCCAAAAAGATTTATACTATACTTAAACTATACTACTAGTAAAAATATACTTAAACACAATGCACTATTTTTTATAACAAAGCTTCTTTTATCCTCTTGCAATAAACTCCTAACAGAAAGATACCTATACCTAATCCGTATCGATAATGGGTGATCGATAGGAATGTATCGATCTCATAGAGGGAAATTACCTTCCCCATCTGTGTCACTTCTAGAAAGAATATATGGATCTTATTTCTTCTGCTGGTTCTTCAAAAAATAGACAAAAGCCACACTGGCCACTGTCTTGCCTCCCAAATTACGTCTATTTTAGAAGCCATACATAAAAGTTGTTTTCCCCAATCTTTTTCCCTCTTTCAGTGGAACAAAGCCAGTATAAAGGATTTATGCCATTTTGTTCCACAGCTTTTGTGCTAGAATAACGGATTCCTTCTTCAATATATTGAGTCTGTAATTCCCAACTGCAGGCCCCAGCTGAAGCATTTTTTATTAACACTAATGCTAGAGGCGAAACAAGAAATTTTTTCTTTCTTCTAATAATGTATTGCAATGATATATTGCGTACAGTTCTTAAGATTGAACTATAGAAGTTAAGTCTTTCAAACCATATTAGTACGGTTAAATATCGTTATTTTTTTTGCATTAGCTTTGTGGTTGTTGTATTCAGTTCTTTGAAAGCAAATAAAAATACTTCTTAACCGCTTAATGACCGAATTTATATGAAAAATTATGGCGAAAGTCCCTGAATTTTTTTAATAACATTCTTATCATCTACAGATATAGCTCACTAGATGCAGCTTTGTAAGGTGAAAAAAAATTGTCGAGGTGAAAAATCAAGATATTTATTATGGTTCATGGACATTACCCGAGTTAACTCGGGCTTCAATGAAGCAGCAGCCCCCCCCAAAAAAAAAAAAAATCTCAAAAGTAATACAAAACTCTGGTCTAGGTAATAAGAGTTAAAGTAAAGATCAATTAAATACATTTTACGATCTATAGATGTCATTGACAGTATGGTACAGTCTGAAACAAGATGTAATACATAATGGCACATCACAGTCTGCAACAGCGTGATAATCTGGTAATCTGCATCGATTAACAAAACAAACTGAATTTACAGTTTATATATAATGCGGCCATGTCGCCGACTGTAGCTCAGCGTCATGGGGGAACCAATCATAAAAGCCGCTTGGACCTTTCCAACAGCTAAGAAAACATGCGCATGGCAGAGTGTCGATAAACCAAACACAAGAGTCACTTGAACCCCTTCCACAGCGAAGAAAACGCGTGCATGGTAGAGTGCCGATTGCCACACGATATTACGAGTGATAGCATCAAATATCCGTAAAATTTTCAGCCGCCGAGTTTCGTTTATAGGAAAATCGAAAAGCCACCTATTCCTCAGATATCTCGGGCGCGGTTGTTAAGCGGTTAATGATTTTGGGATTCTAATTTAAACATTTTAAGGTTAGTTTTACTATAATTCAGTTTAATATAATTATATGCTGTGCAATTTCAGTTTTAAATTGAAATTTATACGTTTTTAGATTTCTTATATGTGTATACATGATGTGTGTGTATGCAATAACAATTGCACTAATTTTTCTG